GGACCTGGGTCGGGCGGTGGGGGGCCGGCGGGAGGTGGGGGCGAACCGCGGCGACGTCTGTGTCCAGCCGGTGGGGGGACACCCGGTCCGGGAAGTCGCCGGGGCTGCCCCCTCGCGGGGGAGCTTGGCGTCGCTTTCCTACCCCTGAGGGGCGGTGGATGGAGTAAGTAATATCCGGGGAACTTAAAACATAGGGAGCTGTAACGCTTCAAGTTCTTCCTAGTTTCAGTCTTCGGCTTGCTTTCCCAGTAGATATTTTAATAGATGACTCTGCAGGAATTAACACATTAAACTCAGGTGCGCTTTCGTTCAAATAAGCTGATCCGGTCAAGCCCTTTGCTTCTGCCTGTTCAGTGCACGTCTGCCCGGGGGCGGGGGGGTGCCCGCCGTGTTTTGTGCCTGTAGGAGATTTGACAAACGCTATTTGAACTGTAAGTTTATTCAATTATGCTTGTACTGCCTTTAGGCTCTTAAGAAGAGTTTAGAGTGTTTTGGTACTGCAGGTTGATTTGTAACGCCTTTTAAGAAATTTTGGCTTATAAAACTGTGAGTTGCACAGAGGTTACATCCAGAAAAAAATAATCTAAGATAAAAATGTTTATGAAAGCCTAATGAGGCTTTTGCTTGATAGCAATTATACCTTCTAAAATAGCTTGGTGCAGACTGCTCAAAAGCACTTACTCTTGCCCTAAGGCTTTTAGTGCAACTCTGACAAAGAGAAATAAGAATATTTATTGCCCAGGTAGTGTAATGTGCCTATGGATTGTGATTTTCTCTTTGTGTGTGTGTGTGTGTTTGGGTGGGGGGAGAAATGAGGGGAAAACAGTCCTCTTTAATAATGACTTTCAAATGGTTGCACTAAAATGTTATCTTCTCTTCCCAACTTTTGTTTTTTTATCTTAAAATGGATTAAAAGAAATTATTTTCTGAGAACTTGGGAATTATATTTGATAATTTAAAGTTGATATATGTGATACTCTTTTGGAAAATAACTGCTTATATTTTTGTCTGCTGATATAAAGTAAGAGTTCACAAGACTTAAGTAAATTTTTGTAGCTACTGAAACAGAGTTAATTTCTGGTGGATCTGATAAACAACTTATTCTTTGGGAATGGAATGGAACGGGAACATGGAATAATCAGGTAGGCAGAAATAACACCATTTTAGACCTGCTTCCCCTCCCCCCCCCAGTTTCTCAAGTGCCACAAATTATGTGATAAGTGAAATTATTTGTTTTGGCTGTATTTCTTATTCATACTTCTTCATTGTTCCTTGACTATTGAACCCCATATATATGTATTACCTCCAAACTATCTGTCTTTAAATTCCTATGAGAACAGAATGTTGGTACTTTATTATGCCATGTTTAATTCTAATTGTTGCTGTTTCTCTTCCACAACTTATCTTTTTCAAATCAACTTTCCGTTAAGAAAATAGCTAACATGTCATCATGTAGGCTTGTCTAGCATGTCTAAAAGATCCTGTTTCTCTGTTCTGGAGTCTTCAGATTTCTTATTTCATGTAATACCTTTTTATTATTATTTTTTACTACCTTATTGCTTATACTATGAGGTTAGTTTTATACTCTGAGGTTAGTTTTTGGTATGCTTCTTCCTCCTTTCCTTATATCCATTTCTAATGATTTCTGGGCAATCCATGTAACTGTCTAGCACTGGTATGTAGATACTATTACTAGAAAAATACACATACCCTAACTTGTATATTTAATTAAAAAAAAATCTGTGCAACAAGTTGAATTTTGTGAAGAGAAATGGCGAGAAGTAAGGACATTTGCTAATTTATTATTAATGGTATAAAAACGTAATGGAAAAGATGAAGTACGGCATAGTGTGAACCTTCAGAATAAACTGAAGTCCAGAAGGAAAAGCTACTTTAAGTAGAAAAGAAAGCTGATTGGTACTCTAATTTGTTATATAACTTTTAAAATCTAACTTACAAGCCACTGACTTGTGAACGTCTGTATAGGAAAACCGTTTCATAGGCTATCTCAAGGTACATCAGATTTAGCTTTTGAAATGTGCAAGAGTAGTAACGTACTAGGGGTAAGTGCACCTCTGCTAATGTTTCTTAGGCTTGTTAGATGGGGGAACACTTTCAAAAGCAAGTAACTTTCTGGCTGACTTCCAGCTGTTGTGACTATTTATTTATTTAAATCTCTAAATTTATTATTTTAACCTCTGTTTTTTCCACTGATGTGCTGCACAGCCTAATGACAATCTTCAAAAAAGAATGCAACTGTGTATATTTTAACAATGGTTCTACGTTAGAGCAAAAGTAAAGTTGTAAATGGGATCAATCAAAAATTACTCCTGTGGTCTACCAGGCTATTGTTTGAAAGAGATGTCAAAGGTATTTGTGCCAAGGCTTGGATAAATGCTAGAATTTTTCCAGTCGCAGAAGTACAAACTTCTCATTTTGCTGTTTATATATATGAAGAACAGATTACAAAGTGACTCACCTGTATTCATTCATTAGGAAAGTGGATACTTAAGTCTAGATTTGAAGTTTTTGTTTTTCAGGTGAGTATTTTGGGAGTGTAAAAAGATGCTTTAATTTGCAGAGAACACACTGTACACAGAGTGCTCTAGCTTTCATTTATTGCACTGTATTATCTGCTCCACATCTCCTTTGCTAAGGTTCTCCCAACTTTTATGAGATGCCCTTTAGGATAAGGGGCAGGAGAAGGAATAAATGGAAGGACAGCAGCTGTTCCGAACTTCTGTACTATTTCCACCTACGTTGTTGTTGTGGCCTCTGTAGTCTTGCAAGGCTTTCTTCAAGAGATAGTGAAGTTTGTATAGTGTACGCAGGAACATTTTATTCTGTTCAACTTTGAACAAAATCTTGTCAAACTAATATTCATTGCTGCTGTATCCTTCCTGTGTGGTTTTCTTACAATATGCTGTAGCTTAAGCATACGCTTGGCAGAAGCCCTGCAATCAGGAACGTACAATTTGTTTTCACTATTAAAATATTTAAAAACAAAAATCTCTTAAAAATTCTCTTGGATAAGTTGCTGGATCTGAACTTTGTTAATTTGTATAACTCTTTCTGATGTATTCAGCTTGTGAAGAGCATTCCTCTCCAAGGCCATACTGAAGCTGTTTGTGCTGTGGATGCTGTCTACTGGTCAGATGAATCTGATTTAAATCTGCTAGTAGCTTCTGCAGCTTCTGATTTTACTGTGAGAATCTGGTTCCGGCAAGGTTCAGAAGGTAAAACTTATTAATGTTAGGGACAGCATACTGACTTAAAATCTAACTGTAAAAGTGATGAATGTATATGCATTGAAGTACTTCTACCTGGCTGAAGACTGACATCTTTTAAAGGTACTGCTCTGATTTCTCCTTAAACTTTGGTCCATCAAACAACTGCATTACTCTTTGGAAGCTGTGGGGTTATACTAGTTTAATAACTATGGGTCAAATTAACCTTCATTTTACATCTGTGATAAATTGGCTGAACTTACTGATGGTAGGTTCTTTTTAATGTGTTTTCAAAATTCGATAATCTGGACCCTAATTTTTCCCTGGAATATGGGGGCAAACTACAGCTCTGTGTGTGAAGTGAAATTAGTTCTTAATATGATAATGCTGGTCTTAGAAAAGTGAGGTTAAATTAGTCACCTGTTTGTTAATATCGATGTGAGTCCATTAAAGTGTAAGATGCTAGTGTCTTGACCTTCTGTTGTACTGCATACGACCTTGTATGTACACACAGGAGAATAGCTCTTTGGAATACATAAAGAGTGAATGGATAATCTAGATGCAAAGTGTTACTTGTTAGTTAAATTGAACTGACACAATCTCTCAAAATTACTTTCTCCGTTAGCTGCTATACCTGAGGATTTCCCATTGCCCTGCCTACACAGAGAAATAGGTTGGGCTTGCTAGCCTTCAGCCCCATGTTCTAGAAAACATTCCCCTGTTCTCCAAAAGAATACCCAGAAGTCTTGTCTTTTCCCTTCTATCTTGCTGTTGTGTGATAGAACACATCCTCTTGCCTGGGATTTTTGATCCTACTCCTGTAGGAAGGGTATTTTGCTATCCTGTTGTTACTCTGATCTTAATGGCTCACCAGTTTAACCACTTGTAGGATCTCAGGGGCATTTGGAAGAAGGTTGGACTTTTATTTTGTAATTTGCAGTATTAATTGCTTCTGATAGGTTGTACAGTTTCATTATAGTAACCTTAAAACTAGGTGGAGAATAGAGACTTTGGGTGGATTTCCATGGGTCCACAAAAGATAACTTTATTGTTTTAGAGTTATTTTCCCTCTAAAAAATCAATGGCTACTGAAAACTGTAGAAGTATTGTAGTTCTTTAAAGTAAATTGAATAGGAGATTTTAACAATGCAATGCAGGAAGAAATGATAGCAATACTTACATAATGAATGAGATCAACACTGTCTGTTCTCATTTTTCCAGTTAAATGCATTCAGATTTTGCAGTTTGGAAATGGATTTGTTATGGATGTTTGCTTATCCTTCTTGCCTGGCAGCAATGGTAAGTACAGCTGCAGATCCTGAATATCAACTCAGGAAAAATAAAACCTACAAAATCCCTCAAAATTGGATTTCATAAATTGGAGTTGGTCAGACGAAAATCCTAAACCTTGTGGCCCCCCCTCCCCGGGAATCATTCTAAGCTACTGCTTATATTTAAAAGATTTCAGTTGAGTGTGTGCTTAGCGATTGGAATAATAGCTGATTACAGTGTGTTCAGATACCCAAATGGGGTTCTTTATTTATACTGTAAGATTGAGGGCATTGAAAGGGTAACAGAGCTGTAAGTGAATAGGATAGAATGATGCTGTTAGTTTCACACGCTCGGTTGTTGTACTGCTGTTTGTTCCTGTCACTTGCACTGAACGGCAAGATGCAGAAAAAGAGTTTGCATGGCTGCATCAAAAATTGCAGGCTGAAGAGCAGTATTGACCATTAGTATCTTCAGTCCTAGATAAATGTGAAAAAGTTTAACAGCTGAACAAGTTTAGTCTGGCTGTTTAGTGTGGTTTATATAGTTTTCTATTAATGCATATGTTCAGACCTTTTCCATAGTAAAGCTTTTGTAGCCTGTCACAGACATTTTGCTGTTACAAACTTCTAAAAACTTTTTTCTAAACTAAATGTTATCCTTTAATAAAACTGTACAAGCTAGATGCGTATGTTTGATTTGGTTTGTGTTTGAATATCATCAGAGTTCTGCATCTGGATGGAGGAGTACTAGGCTCCCAAGAGAAAAAGTACAAAGGTTTCTTACAGTATCTGGAATTATTCTCTGCACACGTTCACTTCATTTTTGTGAAGAAGTCAAGGGTGGAAAGCGCTCAAAAAACCTGAAAAATTTGTTGCAGCTGAGGTATAACTTAAGCATTATACTGACTGCTCCTTAATTAAGGAGTTCCTTTACAGTTGTTTCCCAAGTCTTGAAGAAAAAGATTCCTGCTCCCTCTGTGTGTGGAGAGGGAGGAAGAAAACACACACACAGTTTGCTACAACTCTGCTTCTAAAACGCTGAGAATAGGATTTCCTATTTTGCAGATCTTCATCAGCTCTCTTGTCATATCCTATGATTCTTGCTACCTCATGGATAATGCTCAGGTTATGAGCTTTGTGCTAGTTTGGATAAGTATGTTAGCAGGGGAAAGGAACTGTAATAGGGATTGACTGCTTTAAATACAAGTTTAAGTAGCATTACATTTTGAGGATTCTAGGGGGCATTTTCTCAGCAAAGCAAAGTGTTTGTTATTCCACCATTTCAAAAAATGCAAGTCTTCTATGCAATTTCAGTTCTGGAAGCATCTAGTTTTAAGAATAAATGCACTGACCTAGGTTGCAAGTTTTTTTTAATTTGCAAATTTACTACTTGCTTCTTTTACACTAAGAGCAAATTAAATGTTGGTATCCATTAAATAAATGTAAATAAATAAAAATCCCTAATGCTTGAATTTTCTGGAGATGTATGAACTCCAGGAAAACTACCCTTTAGCATCCTAAATATTTGTAGATGATATTACGTGCATGGCAAAATAACGTGCGTGGCAAAATAACTTCTATTTTAGATCTTGTGTTCTTGAAATGCTTGTTTATTTTGAACAGTATTAGATATCTGACTTAGAATACTTTAAAAATATAGTATCATGCCATCCTATATATTTGTGTTGCTATCTTTATTTTTCTCTTATTTCTGTAATTCTTAATGTCACAGAATATTAGATTTTTGTAACTGTAGCAGTGAAGTCTTTTTCCTTTCCAGTACCAATATTGGCTTGTGGTGGTGACAACTGCAAGATAAATCTGTTTATACAGCAGGATGGTCAGGTAATTACAGCTTTTGTCTCTTGTGCAGAACAGTACAAACTTCTTCTACTTTGTTTCTTTTCATGTATGCTGTTGCTGATATTTTGAGGTTCTTCAATAACTATTGTCTCCCTCTAGGCAACCATCACTTACAACTGCTCTCGTTCAAATACTCCATTCATTTCCTAGGTAATTATGTACAGAATGTTAAAGTTGGGATCAGTGTGTGAAAGTGTTAGTTTTCATATTTTTCCCCTACATGAAGATAGTCGTTTCCCGCTGGCATGAAATAACTATGCCTTTCCTTCTTTACTGGATGTCCATTCATTGAGTGCTTCATATGGAAATGATGTTATTTTCAGTAAGTTCTCAGAATAAAATTAAGATGACTTCTATCTATGAAATTGTATGTTTGTCACGAAGTATGCCTGTTGTGCTGGATATTCCTGAAAGTCCAAAGAAATATTTGAAAGACTTGATCTTCTACAGGCACACGCTTTTTTTTTTTTTTCCCCCTCATGCATTATTTGGAAGCTGGCAATGTTTAGTTTTTCATATGGCTAGATGGTCCTTTGGAGCACTGCAAAGAAATTCTGTCCTCTCCTGCTATCTATTCAGAAACTTTGTTAGACTCTAAAAGGAGCTGTTGAATGATTGTCAGCCAAAACATGTGAAAAAGTGTCTTTTTTCCCTCCATATCAATCGCTTTAAGAAAGCTAAACAAATAAACAAAAAACCCTCAACCAACCACTGAGACTCACTGAAACTGATGTGTATAAGAAGCTTTTACTTTCTGAATCCCTTCAGGTATTCTTCAGGCTTGAAGGCTGAAGAACAAGTATTCTTTTCTACCTTTTGAGAGAGACAAAAGACAAAAGCCTCTTGTAGGTTATGTTACATGTTCAGGCTGTTACATGCAATAATAAGGTGGTTTGTTTGTTTTGTTTTGGTTTTTTTGGAATAAAATACTTCACTCTTCATCTGCTATGTTCAGTGATATCTTGACCATTAAGCAGGAAAGAAGGGTCACTTTCTTAGCTTTTTTTTTCTATGTAGCGCATGAATTGAATGGGTCTAGTGACATCCTCTGAGAGCGAGAGCGCTGCTTGTGAACCTTATTGTGGTGCTAAAGGAAGACTTTCATCTCAAAGGTTGCACAGTTAATTTTCCTCATTTAAAATGCAGAACTTGTTTTCTTCTGTTGCTCTGATTAACAAATAACATGTTTAGAGATGCATAACTTATTTTGGCAGTTTTTGACCAGCTTTGAATATTCCAGCATTCTTAGCCATCCTTATACACAGATGATCCAACGGTCTGTAGATGAATGAAGGAAGATAACTGGAATAAACAAGCTCCATGTTCTAAAGCAAGTTTTACACTGCTATCTCTTTGGAGGGAGGAGACTGCTCATAGAAGGGATGAGGATTTCTTTCTTCTGCAGTTTTTGTTTTCACATTGTCAATTTTAGGAAGTGTTTTCACCAGCTGTCTTAGCAGGGTGGGGGTTCACAGTCCTTTCATAGTTTTGTTTTGTTTTTTAATATGAAGATTTTTTTTAATGAGGCTTTTTTGTGTGGATTTCTTTTTTCCTACTGATTGTATCATGTGGTAGGACTTCTGGTTTGTGTCTATCTTAGTTTTCCAGAGCATTGCTGTTAACTAAGTAAACTCTACAGGCATCAAAAAGAAGAGCCAAATTTGATTACATGTGGAATAAAAATGCCTATAGAGTGTATGACAGCTATTAACAAAATGAAAATATCCTTGCGAGCGTTCTGACATAAATTCCTTGCTAGCTGCTGCATGGAGCTTCTCTCTTTTCAGGTTCTCCCAGATCTGCTGAGGCTTTTATTATGACTTCTATAGTCCTATTTTTAGCGGCGTTTAAAGGAAGTGTTAGTGTTATTCTGTCATTTTTCATTTGAATTTGTTATAGAAGAATGATTAAAACCTAAAGTTCTGCATCCTTTCCTGACTGATGAGGATCCCTAGCTCCCTCTGGTTGATTACGACTCCTGGGACTCTCTTCCTGTAGTTAATGTCCTAAAAACAATTGTATGAACCCAAAAGGAAGAGTAGAGGTTCATAAAGAAACATTCAAAGGAAACACAAAGGACGTTCTTATACTCTGAAGAAAGATGAGACACGTTCACGTTCCTTTCATTAGCTGACTCAGCCTGCCTCTTGGTAAACTCAGGAATTTTATGGTTGAAATAAATATATTCATAAAAGCTGCTTGGTTTTGAAATAGAGTGGGCAAACTCCAAATCCTTTAAGACCATCTACCAGAGATCCCTTAAAGCTTTAGGAGTAGAGAGAGAAAACAATCTCTTTACTTTTTCTGAATTACTGAAAGAGGATATTGATTCATAATGGTGCCTAGAGAAGAATCTTTCAAAAACCATTATATCTCTTCCTGCCTGATATTAAAGGCCTGTGAAGGGAAAGCAAAGGAGGGTATCAAAAAAGATCTTAAAACATAAGAGCTCTGTGTTGAGCTTGATTTTTGTATGATGTTTTTATTGCATATGTTTGAATATGCTTCCTCCATATAATCTGGTGAATTTCAGCCATATTGGAAAGTGGAGTCAGAGTCTCAAAGATGATTCAGACTCCTCCTAATTCTGTGAAGGTTACCAACTGGATAGAGGAGAGAGATCCCATCTAGTGTCCAGCAGAAAAGAAAACCGATAGGACTTGGACTTCTGTTACCTTTTGAGGCAGTTGCCAATTTGCCAGTCAGTACTGCTGGTCTGGTCCTGAAGAACATGTACTCAAAGAACAAGTGGGTAGTTAGTTGTGCTGAGTGCGCTGGACATGTCCACAGACAACCAGGCTTCAGTAGTTCTGTTGCCTTTATTACAGCTTTACTTTTTACGTAAAAGAAAATATACTAGAATGTTGCTACACAAATATGTTAAGAAGTTAATTAAAAGAGGCAGGGGAAAGGCTGTAAAGTAGGTGGTGAGACAATGAGTTTTTGTTAGATACAACTAGTAGATACTAGTGTAACATCTAACGTCCTTGTCTAACTAAGTAAGGACCAAGGGGAAAATGGAAAGAGAGAAGGGGAAGGCTAAAAACATAGAAGTAAAATCTGTAAAATGAGGCAGATTCCAGATGAAAATATTTATAAGTAGAATTTAGCCAATACTAAAAACTTTTCTAACCATTTGTATCTATAAGAAGCTTTAAACGGGTGCAGGTTTAAAACAGAATACGTCAAAGGAAACTAGATGTGCAATATTGAAAGTGAGAGAGATTAAGGAAAAGAGCATGAACAGTATGAAAAAATGAAAAAGTAGAGGGCTGTAACAGCGATGTGACTGCTTTCTCAGTTTCGTTGGATTTTTTTTTTTTTTTTTTTTTTGAGAAAATCCCTTGAAAATTTTGAGTGAATGCTTGTCCTTATAGCATGATAGAGAACTGTATGCTTGACTTAGTGTTAAGTAATGCATAAAAGCCTATTCAGGAAGTGACCCAGAACCCAGGGGGAGGGGGGAATTAGTACCTCAAAGTAATTAGTGTTACTCTCTGAAGAGAAGAGAAATACCTGCTTTTCTTAATTTTCCTCTTTGATGAGAGAAGATGAGGCTAAGTTTAAAAAAAAAAGGATAAATAAAAATTTGAAGTTAAATATAGGAATTAAAATTATTAGATGTGTGTTAGCTACTGCTAAAGTGGCATTTCAGGAGATATGTACAGTGTTTAACATAAAGGGAACCACAGGAGACAAGAAGGTTAGCAAAAGTTCAGCCTGAACCAGTTTTTCAGTTGGGAATAAAATTGCAAACTAACCTTAGTGAATGTAAAATACAGGGCATAAAGTATATCAAATTTTTATAAATGAATAAATATGCATTTCAAACTATTATTGGAGATGTGAACAGTTAAAAGGATACAAACCCCATTAAATTGCTCATGCATTATAGGAAACAAGAAGTCTTCAAAAGAATCCTTTAGGTCATTTTTTGAACTTACTTCCTGGGCAGTTCCTGCTCTTGTATACACAGAAGCAGTGGGATATTTAAAATAAAAATCTCTTCTGGAATCCTGTATCCAAGAATGCCAGTGAGTGCAGAAGTCACTAGCCAAATAAGACTTATATGGCTGTGAGTACATAATTGAGTACACATTGTGAGTACACTCACGTTGTGAGTACATAATTTGTCTCTTAATTGAGACAAAAACTTTCTGATTTGGAAAATTGTGTTACACCGTTCTGGTCATATGTCTCATATACAGATGGTTCTGTAACATTAGAACTGTAAACGTGAAACAAGAAAAAGCAGAGGAACATTGCTTGATTGAAGATGATGATTTTGGGGATTATCCAGGAAGGTATGGACCAAAGGGAGAAGCATTAATTTTTGAATGTGTTTAGTTAGCTGTAAAGCTGTCTGGGTGAATCACTATTGCTGACCAAATTCCCTTGAGTTGAAGAGACAAGTTTTGAGAAAGCCTTTCTTCTTGTTGCTGTGTTTTTTGTTCTTGCTTGTGTTGTTCTGCTTTGTGTACAAGAAGGGAACAGAACGAAGTTGTGGTGGTTTGCTGATAGCAAGGTCTATCGTTAGTCTTGACTCTTAGTAGGCCTAGGTAAGGGATTTAGCAGAAGATAACACAAGAAATAACATGATGGCTATTCATATTTATTAACACTAACATTTTAACTGCAATGGTTATTTCAGGCGTTTATACCAACTCATCGTTACTCAAGCTAAAGCAGAAGTTAGGGGGTAAAAAACATCATGGGAGTAGAGCTTTCTATGGTCAAAGAAAAATAGAAATATTTTAAGTGCTGAGTAAGCGATAAACTTATCTACCTTACTTGAATTAAAATAGATTACATATTTTATGTAAAATTAAATATTTTATGACTAAAAATATACTATTTTTGAAAGTTCTTAAAAGGTAATCTTGACCATGATTGCATTCCTGTGTTCTTGAGCCTGTGTCTATAGAGGGTTCCATCTGGAGATACAGTTCTTGATGTATATCTTTTTTAGAAAAGTGTAAGTCTTTAAACTTTTTAAACTTAGGTAACATAGGAAAGATATCTACCTGCGTAAGTAATTTGTATTAATTGTATTGTATTACAAATTAATAATTGAAGTTATTTTAAAGCCTCTTTCTTCTTTTTACACCTGATCTTACTTGTATTCATTTTTCACATAATCTGCAGTTGCATCCACTTCACATATCTGTAATACATCAACTTACCATGTCATACCTGCATTACATTATTTTTTGTGAACCATTGTAGGCCTGATTAACTTAAATTTTTAATTCTCTTCAAGGTGAGCTCCTTTGATTCTCATGCTTTCCTAGTCTTATATGGGAAGTGCTATAATGTGACAGGCCTTTATACAATCGTGACAACACCAAAAAGCCTCTTTAACATCTATCAATAAATTATAATCTTAAGTAACAGCTTATATTTCCAATTTCAAATAATAGGAGCTGTAAGTATAAAAGACTTACAACTCCAAAGCTAATTGTCCAAGGCCATATATGCATGGTAATTAAGTATATTTCTATGATGTAACAGGAATTTTCATTCAGTTTCAGAAAACATTAATACTCTCTGGCCATGAAGATTGGATAAGAAGCATTGAGTGGGCAGTCTGTGGTAAGTATGAAAGATGAAAAAAGTGGAATATTGGTTTTAATGGCAGTAGTGTTTTACTCCTCCAGTAGATTATTTTGATGCAGTGAAACTTCTAAGGGGCTTTGGCTGTGGATCTTTTTTCTGAGATGGTGATACAAAGTAAATGGTAATTCCAATCTAAGACAAGTAGATTATTAAAAATAAAGGTGAAACTTTGTGTCATATTAAAAATATAAGAATTATTGAACCTTTGTGATAATTTTTAGTTATAGGAATTATGACTAGAGTAAAATTGATACAAAACACTCATATCTTGTGTTTGCATACCCTCTTTGGCTCTGCCTACCTCAAGTGTGTTTAACTGACTCGTACCGAAATAAAAATAAACAGGAATTTTAGCAACTTGTCCTTATGCTGATATCTGTAGCTGAGTGAGAAAGAGCTGACTCCTTTTTTGAAGGGAGTGGGAAGTGGAGGGAAATAGTCTTTTTCTTCTCCTTGTTTTTTATAAGAATAGGGGATTAAGAAGAAAACCTACTCAGGCATTAACTAGTCAAATATTTCTTGCAATGGCAAAAAGAAAATAGAATTAGAAGAAGCAACAGTCTTGATGAAAGAAAAGGAAAAATGGAGTTCTTAAAAAGTATTAAGTAACTCATTGTGGGTGTCAGAATATAGAGAGAGAGAGCGCCATGAGTAATAGGGAACCGAATGTATGATATTTACCATAAGGCAGTGCCATGCCTTAAGACCATAGTCAGTATGTTCTAAATTAGTGAAGGGTTTGAAATGGGAGAATTAATTGATGTTGAAATAAAACCAGCAGTGTTTGTGATACTGTACACAGGGTGGAAAATTAGGATAATACTATAGTGAATGTTTAGAAAGATGGTAGGTTAATCATGCAATGAAAAAACGTATGGAAGTATGGCTCTTTAATTACTTTTTTTTTTTTTTAACCAAATAGGTGAGGATCTCTTCTTAGCAAGTTGTGCTCAGGATTGTTTGATAAGAATTTGGAAAGTGTGTACAAAATCGAAGCAATTTGCAGAAACTGAAGATGATTCCATAAGACTGAAAGAGAATGCATTTACTGTTAAAGGTAGGTAACAGCTGTAAAATGCTCTTGTATGTCTTTTTTCTCATGTATGTGTTAGTGGTTTCAGGAGGGCTAACAAGGTGGTTACTATCTAGCTTGTTTTGTTTTGCTTGTACCAGAAGAGGCTGAGACCAGCTTGACTGCATTATTTTTCTATAGCCATAAAAAACTAGTGGATTTAAAGCAGTGCCTATGTGAAGCTAAAGGTGTGCTATGAAAAACAGTAAAGCAGAGAGCTTAATATCAGCATATATTGTCATATGTATTCCAAATCCAAGTACAGTGTTTTGAGATACGTTTGTCTGTGGGAAGTAAGCTTTAAAACAGTTCCGCTCCAGTTTAATAATGTACCTTTAATTGTCTTTCAAATTCAATGCATTAAGTAGTACTAATATTACTTAGCCCTTAAAAGAAGATGAGAGAATGGGTGGATATGTGCAGGCTTACTGTGTGGTTATTTAACATACTGCTTAGGCACTGTAACATTAGAGGCTCGTAATGCTGACATGAGGAAAGTTACTAGGCAACTTAGGTAATATAACATTATACAAACTTTATTGTATGAGTAAAAAGAGCTCATGCTGCTTGCTGCAAATCCGGATTCTTTGTTTGAAGTGTCTTAATGCTTGTATTTGCAGTCATTTAGAGACATAAGTATGCTTAAATTAAGAGTGGGTAGAGGCAATTTGAGTGTTTATTTCAAAAGTCCTTGAGAGTTCTCCAGGAATTTTCTAGTATCACTCTGAGGAAATAGGCTGGACATGTGCTGTTAATATGGTATGTGGGGCCAGCATCCACGTAGGTTTTCAAAGAGCTGTTCAATGTTAATAGGCTATTGGTAGATAATGAAAGCAGCTGATTGTATCACTAATTTGACTGTTTTCAGATTTGACTTTTAGAAACAAATGTTATTTTCTCTAATTTGTGATAGATACTGTTACAACATATGCAATTACCTTGGAGTCCGTGTTGGCTGGTCATGAAAACTGGGTGTATGCAGTTCACTGGCAACCTCCATTTTTCAAAGGTAAAAAGATACCAAACAACATCTTAGCAGTTGCGTTAGGGGTTGCATACACGGAGTACAGTCACATGTCTTTGTATTGTGTATGCGTTGTTCAGTTGTCAGTGTGGACTATGAACATGTTAGAATTCTGCAAATGATGTTTTCTGCATAAAATGATGTTTTGGTTTCATGTGCCACAACAGCACATCTTACTAGCATAGGCTCTCCTTATGGTTCTCTTGCATGATGCTGTCTTAGTCATGTTTTCTTCTATGAAATACAATAACTGAGCTATTGCTGACTTTATTATCACCAGTGTATTGTTTATGGAATAAATTTTAATTTTGCTCAGTATATCTTAATAGCTCTAGTACTTTGTCTTTATAAGTTTACTTGAAATGTCTGTTCTTTGGAAGGTAAGTATTAACTCAAAAGCACTCTTGTTTTTCTTGGATTAGAAAGGAGCAAACAGCAACGTTAAGTAGTTTCATCTTCATTCTTCAATGTATTAATACAACATGCCAGAAATTCCTTGTATCAGTTTTGGCTAGCTAACGTATGTAGTTTTAAAGCATTAATTCAGACCTCTATTGAAAATCGTTTACAGAGTCTTTAATTCTGCATCTTGCCCTAGTCTTCATCTTTCTTTTTAGATTCTTAAATTCTGACGGCTTTGTTTGCAGTACTGATTTGCTTGTGTGTGTCTGCCCAAGGCATAAAGGAATAAGATTCTTTTTATGACATGCTTGTACTATCAGAAGGCTCTTGTGTATTTGTATTGGCAAAGCTACCTTTTCTGAGTTGTTTTAGGGTTACCGGTATCAGGTGACTTTGCCAGTACAAAGCACAGCTCTGCCGGTGTATATGCAGCACTTAGGCAGTAGAGTGCAATTAGAATGGCAAAATACCTGTAAAGACAGACATGGGACTTGCTTGAGAAGTGTTGGCTTAATTATCTGTTCTTTTAGTTTTTATTTAAAAGCACCAATAAAAGATTTTACTCCTTAAAGCGAGAGTTAGACAAAATCTGAGCATGTAACCCAAAATGCCCTGTCCTGTTAGACCATTAAGTTTTCTAGGTATCTCACGTCATGGTTCTGCATACAAGCAGCTATGCAGCTGCTTCTATTCTGTAGCTTCTCCAAACTTGGGTTCCCAGGATAGGTATTATTCCTCTTCATTAGAGGTAGGCTGATCTCGGAGACGTACTCAGGGCATTGCTTGCCACTTCCCAATGCAGAAGATAGGAGATCTGGCACTAGCATAAGATACTGCCTCAGGGGATGCACGCTAGTGTCTCCTTTCTCCAAGGAAGGTTTCCTAGCAGTTCTTCTCCCTGGAATTTCCTGCCTGGCTGATGAATCAGCTCCCTCTTTCTGTTCTAGTAGTGCAGGGCTGTTGCCTGGAGCATTGCAGCACACTTCAGAGAGCAGTACTTACTGCTGTACGTACTTCAAGGTACTAGAGTCTGTTAAGTCCATTATTGAATCTGACATTTAATTTGAAGAGGAGTGAATATTGGCATAGAGATTATTATTTTGTTTTAAACTGGAAGCCTCATGGTAAGTATTCAATACAGAGATCTCATTTGAGGAAAAGAACTGGGAACTGCTGGGCAGGTTCTATGTGAAGCTCTAGCTTTTCCTCCAAGTTACAGCTCCTTCAATATCAATTTGTAGAGAATTATACATGAGAACAACCATATTCTACTGTTTATGTTTTACATTTTCCTTGGTAAATTATGGTTGAAAAATATGATACCCTCTAATAAATGCCTTGTAAAAACACAGGGCTTAAGTCTGGCACTTAACTGCTGCATTTTACATCTCTAGTGCTGAACAATTTTTTTTGTCATGTTTGGTTTTTAGTATGACCAAATTGTTTTAGAAAAAATTCTTATAAGTTGTTTTTCTCTTGTGCTGTAGATGGCAGCATGCAACAACCAATGAGAATATTGTCTGCATCAATGGACAAAACTGTGATCCTTTGGGCACCTGATGAGCAATCTGGAGTCTGGCTAGAACAGGCAAGTGTCAGTGTTTCTCATAATATGTAGTATTTTGATGTTGTGTTTCCAGCATCGTGTGTGTACTGGAGTAAATGAAAACTTTATAAGATGCTGGGAGAGACAGGCAAAAACATTTTCTAGCAAAAATTTTCTTTTTCACATTATGTTGTGAGTAGAACTATAGTTGTCAAAAAGATGATATTATGATGCAGTGTAATTTTTATTACTTATTCTCTTGCTTATTACCATATTGAGGAGTTGCTAATAGGGTTTGTACTCAAGTGTCATTCATAGAATAGCAAGTCAGGTGTTACATAGTAACACACTGTATTCCAGTAAGAAGAGGAAGAAACCACCTTAAGTTATTTGTGGTTAATACTTAGGGGAACATGTACCCAAGCAGTTATGACAGAGCAGCTGACACACAATTGGCAGCTGACATGCAATGCACAGCGTTGTTTTATTCATAGTAACTTTTTCTTGGGCTGTATCATTAAGTTTTTTCTTATTTATGCCAAATAGTCACATTTCACTATATTTAGAATAGTGTTCTAATATAGATCATCCTAAACAAACAAGTAGTACAACCACATTTATCTAATGCCTTTTAGTTGACTTGCTTTTCCAAATTCTGCAGAAATTTTGTGTTAGATTATGCTGATCGTTGTTTGTGGTTTTTGTTGTCACAAAAAAAAATCAAACCCTCTCTTGAGGAAAAGAATAGAGCTAGAGTACTTCATTACTTTTTTCCTGTTGAAAAGTTCTTGGGCCTTTCTACTTGAAGTGGGAATTAAAACATTAATGGGGTCCTCGCATAGTTAGAGATGCCACTTGCTGTATATTGACAGAGTCACCTAGTTGGGGTTAATTTTATGAGCCTCCTAAAATCAGTTGTGCTTTAAGACTTGTTGCAGGTTTGTTACTCTTTCTTTTTACATTCCTTTTGCATTGATTAGATTTCAAGCGTGTAGCTTACAGTTCAGATCAGACATGTTAATTGCAGTAATCTTTTTTGCATTGAGGAAGGAGACCCAAACTGGGAACCTACAGGAGAAGAAAAGGGAATAATTCATTCTATAATCTTTTCTTCATTTTATTATTAAATTAGTATTGGGAGCAAGTAGGCAAGGAGAATGTCCCATTCTCTGTTCTCTTGTGTTTTAATATGAGGAACAGGAAAACTTCACAGTATCATTTCACTGCTCAGAGGTGGGACTAGAATTCTGCTTCTAACATGGCAGATCAGTCTCATCCACACCTGGAGTACTATTTAGAATTGGTGCTAACTAAGTGGATATAACTAGTCCACACCGCCATTTGGAATGAGGTACAGATTAATTTCATTGTGAACTCAAAAGCATTTGTATAAAACTGGGGGAATTGTTAGAACTTAATGTGAAAGAAATAATGTCCTTATCTTTTGAATAAACCTTGAAAGTGCAACTTAAACAATCTTTTAATGTAATCAAAAACCTGAAAGAGCATTAAAGAAACTATATGGGGATTGTGGGGTGTGTGGGGGTGTGTAGGCATGCATACAAGCACACATGCACAATTGAGGCATAGAGGCCCAAATATGCCACAGAAGGTATCTGGAAAATGCAGAGCAAGTTGCAGTGTTCATGGAGGAGGAGGGGAAAGGAGATATGTTAGTGAGTCTTGCAGTCTTAAAGTGAGTCTTGCAACCACTATGTGCAACAGAGCAATAGGGAGGCGATAGATGAAAAGAAGCCATTGCATCCAGACAGGCTGGATTGAAGCGTAGATGCGTTGAGTTCTGGTCTCCTCTATTGCTCTGTTTTCTTACCCCCAGGTGACTGAGGAAGATGGCCTTCTGAGATATTTATGAAGGAAGGCCCTATTAAAGTGGAATGTGGCTTTAATTCCTTTGGTATTTTAGTGCTTAACTTTGTGGTTATGATATTCTTCAAACATAATTTTGGTATTAATGTAAACTCTTGCCTATAGTTGAACTTTCATGTTATGACATTAGGATAAGTTCATAAGAATGAAGGGCCATTTTAATGGATATTTCACTTCTGGTCATTAATTCAGGTGCGAGTAGGTGAAGTGGGTGGCAACACACTTGGATTTTTTGACTGCCAGTTTAGCCCAGATGGTTCAATGATTGTTGCTCATGCTTTTCATGGAGCGCTACACCTTTGGAAACAGGCTGCAGTTAATAAGGTAAGATTTTTTTTTTTTTAATTTGTTCTAAAAAAATACTACACTTATCTGTCACTTGAGATAAGTTGTAAAGTTCATAGAAAATATCAAGTATAACAGGTCGATTTAAAATGATAGAAATGGACCTTTGCTGAATATAATATTCTGCAGGAGTTTCACTCCTGCCTAGAAGGGAGGCTGGAATCTCCCAGGCTCTAGAGCCTGTTGACTGTGGGAACTATAAAGCCAGTGGAGTAGACCAAATTCCTTTGTGGTTATGCTTTGTTCAGAAATGATAGGTGAACCAATAGCACAAGTTTCATCTTAGTTTGAGAAATAAATCAACTTTCAGAAGTACTTGTGTTCATTTAGCCACTCTGGGTTCCAATAGTCTGCTGTTTTCAAATGTCCATTTTTTTGTTTTCCTGATAAGGAACTTTGTCACTTGTATTTTGGTTAGAATATATCAATCAGTCAGTTGAAGACTTCATGCTTCTTTGATGATATTTTTTGGAATTTTTATAGAAAGAATGGAATCCAGAAGTTGTGATTTCAGGACATTTTAATAGTGTAGAGGATGTACAGTGGGATCCAGAAGGAGAATTTATTATAAGTGTTGGTTGTGATCAAACTACTAGACTCTTCGCTCCCTGGAAAAGAAAGCACGAGACACAGGTACATTGCTTAAAGACTTTTGTGAGCTTGGTAAAGAAGGCTTACCTGTTGTGAGTTTGGAACAAGTTATCTGAATATTACTCATACCTTAAATTTCCCAAGCTATAATCTGTTCAAAACTGTATATGTAAAAGTTTGGTTTGATCATTTGGTATTTGCTGTTTTCACTTCAAAAACACTAGCAGCAGAGTTTTAGCAATCATGTGGCATGACTTGTTTAAGCTTGTATTCATCGCTGGGTTACCCTCAGTTAGTGTTCTCTCTGGCTCTAAAAAACTAAGCGCTACAATAATTCAGAAGAAGGAATACATGGCTGCTTTTAATAACCACCTGTTCTCCTTGTTTAATGTTTTCCTAAACACTGCTGTAGATAATTATGTAGATATTCTTTTTTTATCTTTTTGTTTTTCCACATGTCTGATTAAAGCACAGTTCTCACTGTATTTTTACACTATTTTGGTTATGAATGTGACTGTCTCACCAAAATGATTGACTGAACTACATTGAGTGCACTTGACCTCACATGTGCATGCAACTTTTCAGGAACAGCTGTTCCTGAACAAATTTGTATGTTCCAAAATAAGACTTCTGTTTCCCAATGAGTTTTGATGTGGGTGACCCTGTCTAAGAATGTAAAAGGTCCAGTTCCCAGTTGTTCATGCATTTTGTTAATCACCAAATACAGCTTTTTTCTGGCAGAAGAGTACTCATGTTCCATTCAGGGAACTGGTGGAAACTAAACTGATTGAAGTCATGTGAGGCACTGTCCAAGCTGTGCTATTAGTTGGGGGAGGTAAAGCATGGCTATCATAAGTCTCAGCAAAGCTTCTGTAATGTAAACTATCACGGGATGACTCATGTTTTTGGGAGAGTGAATTGAGCATCAGTTCCTGGATTTCCTTCTTCCAGGCCACATTGAAGGGGTGGCAGTCCCAGCTCAAGTGCCAAGTTTTGCATTGTGTTGTAGGAAGGGCA